TGAAACAGTAGCCAGAGCAATTAGACCGACAAAAGAAATTAATGGGATACACATAGATAAAGAACTCAAATTGGCACTATTTGCTGATGATATGATTCTATACCTAGAAGACCCTAAAAGTTCTACCAGAAAACTTCAGGAACTAGTAACTGAATTCAGCAAAGTAGTAGGATATAAAATCAACACCCATAAATCAAAGGCATTTCTGTATATCAGTGACAAATCCTCAGATAGGGAAATGAGGAAAACTATCCCATTTACAATAGCCTCAAAAAAAAAAAAAAAAACTTGGGAATCACCTTAATGAAAGAGGTGAAAGATCTATATAATGAAAATTACAGAACCCTAAAAAGAGAAATCAAAGAAGACCTTAGAAGATGGAAAGATCTACCTTGCTCTTGGATAGGCAGAATTAATATTATCAAAACAATCATACTACCAAAAGCACTATGGAGATTTAATGCAATTCTGATCAAAATCCCAGTGGCATTCCTCATAGAAATAGAAAAAGCAATCATGAAATTCATCTGGAAAAATAAGAGACCCAGAATAGATAAAGCAATTCCTAGCAGCAAGAGTGAAGCAGGTGGCATCACTATACCAGATCTTAAACTATACTACAGAGCAATAATAACAGAAACAGCATGTTATTGGCACCAAATTAGACTGGTAGACCAATGGTACAGAATAGAGGACACAGAGACTAACTCACAAAATTACAATTATCTTATATTAGACAAAGGTGCCAAAAACAAGCACTGAAGAAAAGATAGCCTCTTCAACAAATGGTGCGGAGAAAACTGGAAATCCATATGCAACAAAATGAAATTAAATCACTATCTCTCATAATAGACAAACTCAACTCAAAATGGACCAAGGACTTAGGAATACAACCAGAGACCCTGCATCTAATAGAAGAAAAAGTAGCCCCTAATCTCCGTCATATGGGATTAGGCCCCAACTTCCTTAATAAGACTCCTATTGTGCAAGAATTAAAACCAAGAATCAATAAATGGGATGGACTCAAACTAAAAAGTTTCTTCTCAACAAAAGAAACAATCTTTGAGGTGAATAGAGAGCCTACATCTTAGGAGCAAATCTTTAGTCCTCACACATCAGATAGAGCACTAATCCTAGGATATATAAATAACTCAAAAAGCTAAGCACCAAAACAAAATACAAACAAACATAAAAACCCAAATAGCCCAATTAATAAATGGGCCAAGGACCTGAACACACACTTCTCAGAAGATGATATACAATCAATCAACAAATATATGAGAAAATGTTCATCATCACTAGCAATTAGAGAAATGGAAATCAAAACCACTCTAAGGTTTCATCTCACTCCAGTAAGAATGGCAGCTATTATGTATACAAATAACAATAAATGTTGGCGAGGATGTGGGGGAAAAGGTACACTCATACACTGCTGGCGGGAATGCAAATTGGTGCAGCCAATATGGAAAGCAGTATGGAGATTTCTTGGAAAATTTGGAATGGAGCCACCATTTGATCCAACTAGCCCTCTCCTCAGTCTATACCCAAAGGACTTAAAAACAACACACTACAGGGACACAGCCACATCAATGTTTATAGCAGCACAATTCACAATAGCTAAACTGTGGAACCAACCTAGATGCCCTTCAATAGGTGAATGGATTAAAAAAATGTGGCATATATACACAATGGAATATTACTCAGCAATAAAAGAGAATAAAATCATCACATTTGCAGGTAAATGGATAGAGTTGGAGAAGATAATGCTAAGCGAAGTTAGCCAATCCCAAAATAACAAATGCCGAAATGTTTTCTTTGATATAATGAGGCTGATTCATAGTGGGATAGGGAGCATGAGCATGGGAGGAATAGACAAACTCTAGATAGGGCAGAGGGCTTGTAGGGGAAGGGTGGGGGCATAGGGTTATAAATTTTGGTGGAATGTGATGGGCATTATTTTCCAAAGACATGAATTGGTGTGAATGTACTATGCATACAACCAGAGATATGAAAAATTATGCTCTATATGTGTAATAAGAATTGTAATGCATTCTGCTGTCATATATAAATAAAAAATAAATGGGAGGTTCATTTGCTGGTTATTCTTGAAGTTTAATGACTACAAATGGAAAAACATCTAGAGGCTTGTGCAGTCCTCTGAGGGCAGGTATTTATATTGTAACACTGTGACTGGCCAGCTTCAGGGCATCATCCGCTTGGATGGCTACTGCTACAGGTTTTTTCTATTCAGGAACCCTTCAGATAGCTGATTCTCTGAGGTTGGTACAGAAGCTGCTCCTTCTCACATAGGGGTGACTGTCTTCGTTACTGGGAAACTTAGATTTACTTTCTTTCTAGATTCCTAATCAGAGATGATGGGCCTATGGATCCCTACCCAAATCTGAATCTTTTTCTTGATTATGGAGACCAACCATGAGATCATGAAGGGTGCTTTATAGTTTTAATGGATCATATAGAGACCTTACACAACTGGTGCTATTGCTAGTTTTTCCTGCAGCATAGGTAGGGCTGGCTTTGTGGGTATGGGGTCCATGCAGTTGTTTAGAGCTTTGTGCTTAGAAGGCTCTGAACTTGGTTTCACTGTTTTTGTCATTACTTGAAATTTTGCTGTTGTCTTGAAATTCTCAATAATTTTTAAGCAGAGGCCTCTTGTTTTTATTTTGTACTGGGAAACATAAGTTATTTTCCTGGCCTGACTATAATAATAACAACAATCATTCTGTTTTCTTATTCTTGCTAATTAACAACCCATTACTTAAGCAGATCTGATAATAGAACTAAATCAGAGCCTGATCTTGGAGGGAATAGCCCAGGACAGGACCCACCTGAGCCTAGTAATTGTACTGTCATATTAGAGAGGGAAATAACCATGTTGATAGACTTTGCCTTCAGAGCTATCAGGTGGCTGGGTAGGAAGGAAAATGGGAAAAGTCTGATTATTACATAATATCACAATTTCTAACACAGAATATCAGACCTTCATTCCTCTCTTTCTAAAAGTCCAGGGGTCCAACACTCCTTTCCTACATTTTCTCCACATTGACCTGTATCTCCCTAGTCATTAGAACTGGTTGAATAGATGCTAACCTTCCAGAAGAATTCCCAGTGCAATAGCTGTTCTTTCTCAACGGCATAGCTCCTGTTATGGTTTGGATGTGAGGTGATCCCCAAAAGCTTACATGTGAGACAAGACATGCAAGAAGGTTCAGAGGAGAAATGGTTGGCTTTTGAGAATCATAACCCAATCAGTGAATTAATCTCCTGATAGGGATTAACTGAGTGGTAACTGAAGTGATAGGGTGTGGGTGGGGGAGGTAGGAATTGGGGGTGTGGCTTTGGGTATATATTTGTATCTGGCAACTGGAGACTGCTCTTTGATTTCCTCTGCCACACACTCAGCCTCAATGTTCAGCCTCACCTTGAGCCCTGAAGAATGGAGCCTGCTGCCCAGGGACTGAGACATCTGAAACTGTGATGCCCTAAATAAACTTTTCCTCAGCTACAGTTGTTCTGGTTGGGTCCTTGCATCACATGGGCAAAAAAGCTGACTAAAACAGTTCCCATGTGCCCTGCTGCACAACTCATTTTCCTCTTAATGCCATTAGAGTAAATCAAACCTTTTCAGTAATCAGGAGACTTCTGCCTATTTTATCCTCCCTTGATCTTTTGTACCCAATTTAAATCAAAGGCCCTTCTTTTGTCATCCTTGTTAATCAGACCAAATAAATTATGCCAGGTCAGAAAGTCTAGTTGATGTTCAAAGATTGTTAGGAGTGACTCCTGGATTCAGCTTATATGACTTTCATTTTAGTTAGCTTCCACATCAGCAAATAATTCTTGCCAAAGCTATGTGAGATAAGGATGTAAATGAATGGATATGACCTTAGTTTCTCTCAAGTTCCTCTGGTTGCCGAATTATGGCAGTAAAACTCAATGTGCAATGTGAGAAAAACATCAGTTGGGCGATAAGGAAACTATTCTTGTAAATGTGGACTCATGATAGGCTTCTGAATATGTGGAACCTGCCCTTCTCAGCCTACATTGTCACTTTCATTGGTTTTATTCATCAATATGTTTTCAACTCCTAGGCTGTGACTCTGAGTGATGAATGAAAATGTTTTTAATGTATTTTATTTTCTTTTTCTGAAAACAAAGTCAATATACAGTAGCTTCAATAATTCCTATGAAAAAAGAAATAGTACATGGGTAGGCATGGCTTTTTAAGGAAAAAAAAAAAAAAATATATATATATATTTATATAAATATATATATATAAATGAAAAAAATAGTTGTAGTTAATTAAAAAAAATATATATATATTAATTTTTTCTAGTTGTTGATAGACTTTTATTTCATTTATTTATATGTGGTGCTGAGAATTGAAGCCAGTGCCTCACACATGCCAACAAGTGCGCTACTACTGAGCCCCAGTCCCAAAGAGGTATATTTTTAAATCGAACTAAATTAGGAAAAACTATGGTTAGATAGGTGGTATCTGATTTTTTTTATTACCAGTACCTTCCATATTTCATAAATTGCAACAAACATGATTGTAGAAATTTCAGTGCTATAGTAGAGCTTTTAGGTGAGTATGATGCCATCAATTTATACCAATGGCACCAAACCAACCAATTTTCACAATTATCATTTATTTACTTTTTGTACTTTAAATACTTAAATTGATAATTTTAACTTCTTCATAAAATTTGAAAATATTTCTGAAAGTTTTGAATTAGAAAAATAATACACAACTGGGGCGACAACATGAAAAAAGTCTTTATTTATCACTACTTATGATAAATTAAATGAGTAAATAAAACTATTGAACTTTAGTATTGGTAGTTTTTCACAAACTCATGCATGTTTATATTTGATCACAATATCCTTTCTAGACCTCTTAAATATCTTTTATAAGTTTATAATCACACAGGATGGATTTAAAAATTCAGAAGTATCCTTTACTTATATTGCTTTTGTTTTTAAAACTCTGTTCTAGGTCTTCTTGAAGAGTTTCTCTTCTTTCAGATACAAATAGTGGTACTTAAAATAATACTAACAACCACAACAAGCACAATAGACCCCACCACTGACAGACCACAGTAGAAATATTAACTCCAGAATCATGATTAGGATGACTTTCACCAGGATTAGGATTTGGTTGGCTTTCATCAGGACCAGGATCTGCTTGAGGGATAAACAAAGCCACTTGTCCAATATTGGATACTTTTGATGTCAAATTGCTTTTGTCTACACTTTGAATGGCAATGAATATGTGGGTTATGTTTTCTTCTGAGATGTTTCCTGGTTTAAATGCAAAGGTTTCCTTGGAGTTCGCCTCTTTTGGTGATAGGTCGGTAGTGTTCACTTGAAGTGCATCATCAAAATTGTCTCTTAGATCAATGATACTTCCACTTATTCTTATGATATACTGTCGAACTAAGAAAAGAATTACAGGCAGTTTAATAACTGTAGCATACATACCATACAAATTTCTTTCCATTTACTCTCAAAAATGTTGTTTACTTATGCATGGTATATACTCACAAAAAAAGTTACTGCTTTTTAAATAAACCTGAATTCTGACTTTTAAGCTCTGCCAAATGTTACTATCTTTGCATGAGAAGTAAAACCATGTTAAAATATCTCGTTTGATTGATTAAAAAATATCAGATTATAAAATTAAAAGTTCAGTGAGCTGTCAGTCAAAAACTGTTCTTTCCTAACCTGCCCATACACCCTTGCTTTTGCAATGAGCACCTTTAACTTAAGTTGAAACCACATGATACTTTATGCTTACCTGTTCCGACATCAAAATTATCTCCTGGCGCAGTCCATGTTAGATTGATCTGATCCCCCTCAGATGTGGCATCAAGGTCTGTGATTTGACTTGGAGGGAACAGGTCAGGCAAGGGAACATTTGTAGTGTCTGGAACTTGTGATACCACAAATGCACCTCCAGATGCTGTTCGGCTGAAATTCTCCAATATTGTCTGAGTATCCTCAGTAGTTTCAGGTCTTGTTGTATTCTGTTCAATTTTGCCTGCATTAAAAATTTTCTAGTTTAAAGTGAGCAAATAAATCACCTTCTTCATCCCACTAGTCTTTCCCTTTTTTTCTTCATGTGTATAGTCAAATTTTTAGTAAGGCCTGTGACACAATCATAAGTGCCAATTGGTGGGATAATTCATCTTTTAGTTTCCTTTAGGATAAAACTGGATAATAAATTGCTTTGGAGTAAAGACTGTCACATGAGAATAATGTTATCTACAAATTCAATATATACCTTCAAAAAAGTTTGCTTTACATTTCAAATTATCTTCAGGCTGGAATATACCTTGGGAAAAACCAGTTTCCTCCCAACCACTCCATGCTGCAAGTGCTATGGAATAATACTTATTGTACTCTAATTGCTAAGAAAAAGCCCCTGAAAGTCACAAGAGAAGTGACTATGCAAGGGAAAGTTAGCAAAGAATGCATTCTTCATGCTTATCATCACCTTGCTCTACACATTTCTTCTTTTGACTTAAAAAAAGCATTCCAGTATATGACAAAAGTATGGTTAGTTAACTAACATCCTGAGTACACTTTGTGTTAAAATTCATAGGAAGGATTGTTCTTAAAACCCCTTAGGAATTGAAATCATTAGAGTTCTCTTTAAGCATTACAGATGCATATATCTGACCCCTGCCTTGATAAGAGATGAGGAGAGAGGTTCCAGGCCATAATGTTCCTGTTTGGAAGTCACTTTCACATTCTAACCTTTAAAAAAAAAAAAGGTCTTTTTTTTCTCATTTCTGTTCCTTTGCTTTAAAGTCTAGCCTGTGTTAAATAAGTGTGTGTGGTTGATTCAGTGCTAGTGTATGTTTCGTGGGAAACTTAAGTACTTTATTGGAAACATCTAGTCTTTCTGGATGTTTAAAAGTACAAAACCTATGGCAAAAGTAGAGGGCTGAAATAATGCCCTTTATATATTTTTTGTTACTGTATAGGAATGGTTGGAATTTAGGGGAATGGAGTTATTAAACTTGATGTTTTGGAGAGTGTGTTGACTGTTCACTGGGTGCGGGGTGGAGAGAGAAGAAAGTATGGAGCAAGAATTCTTCTGTTCCCCTTATATTAGTTCAGATTCTCTAGCTACTGTTAAATGTATAATTTAGTTAATATTTCCGGGTATTAAAGGATAAGTCCTAATACCAAAAATTATATTAGAAGTAGCAAAATAATCTCTATGTGATTATCCTTTTGTTATTATTATTATTATTCTTTAAGGAAGAACTATCTTCTGGGAGTGACCTTTGTTTGCTTACCTCTTAAACCTAGTGGTAGTCCTGTACTTAGTCACTGAAAAGGGATAGGAGGAAGGGTAAGGGGAATGACTATTTGCTAGCATCTCCATATCTGGAAGTCTGTTTTAGATCATAATCATAAATCTATATGTGCATTTTTTTTTGTAATGTACTTGTGCTTATTGTGTACAAAGTTCATACTTTATTTCATAAATTTCATAACATCTAAATTTTCTAGATGCCCAAGGTGATAGTATATCATAAAAATTAAACCTAGTGAATTAGCCAACTTGTAAATATCTTTTTGGTACAATTGATAGGAAAGATGCATCTTGGACATGAAATTATTTTTATCTCTGAGCAATGTTTTTCAGGACTTATTCCTTAGGCTAGCAGCAGAGGGGCAGAAGGAAGCACATAAGTAAACATGGGAGCAAACACTGAAAGATTTACATTTTGATGTGAGCTACTGATGTGTGTGCATCTTCTGGCTGTACTGTAGGAATAATTAAATTCACTGGGGACATGTTCTCTTGCTAGTATTTTAGTAGTAGAAATCTGATAGAGAACCTTCTGAGAAACATTATGCTTGGTGTATTGTGTTGCTTTAAGTCTCATTTTAATTGAGAATTAAAGGAATACATTATTGTAGTTGAAACTTTGCTAATATATCTATCTAGAGACCTGTTGCCATTTCTGCCTTGAGTGAAAATTTTGTCGCAGGAAAGGCAGGATTACGATTTTTTTTCTAACAGAAGGTATTGCTGTAGTATAGTATTCTTGATTATCAAAAATGCTCATGTAGCTTTGGCATTTTGAACTGGTGAATATTTATGATGCAAAGAAAAACCCAATTCACACTATGATTTCAACCACACAAAATGAGATGTTATATATGGACATGCAGGTTCTGAAAGGACATGTCCAGCTAAGCTACTTGTGACTCCATGACTTTGTTCTTTCCTTGTGTTTTTCTGTTTCCTCTAATGTGCATATTAACTTTTAAAATATAAAAGATACTTTAAAGGCAAACAAACAGAAAACAACATTACAAATAAATGTTTATTTTTAATAGCACATGTAATCTGAAGGATAAATTCTGCTTATACTTAGGCTCATAACATATTGATTTGTTTTTATGTCCTGAGCTGAAAATTCGGCATATTTTTGTTGATATCATGAAGTTTTCTCAAACTGATCTAATACTAGCTAACAGTTTTTAAATGTTTACTAGGTGCTAGGCATTATTCTAAAGCTTAGATCAATTTGAAGGCAATTAGCCAAGAACTTCATTCCAGAAGTGGGAAAAGCTATATTTTGAGTTGTAAGATGTTTGAAGCCTCAATTATACCAAATCCCAAATATTATTCAATCTATACATGAATTCAGATGCCATGAGCTACTCACCATCTACCACCCAGCCTGGTATATAGGCAGCTCTATTCAGTGGGTACTGCAAGCTTCGCCTGGCAGAGTCTGTTCCTCCGTGAGCCCGCACTTTTAAGTTATATCTGCCATTTTCTGAATAAGATGTAAAATACCTGGAGTAGACCCCGTCATCTTTGAAAGAATCAGCACCTTATCATAGAAATGAAGAAATAAATTATTGTAAATACAAAGATAAATTCATGCATTTTCTAATACAACAAGCTTTGGCCTCTATAACATGCCCCCTAGACCAAGCTTCATATTTAGGGTTTGACCTTCTGGAGACTAGTTCTATTATGCTCTGTCAGCTCAATATATTGATACTAGGGTTGAATTGATACTAGAGTTGTTTTGATATCTTTATATCCATATAGCACATATACAACACATTTATATTTGTATATGTAAACAAATACCTCATATTCCTGTCCTTAATCTATTTACATATATTTTATAGTGCTTTTACCATTTCTCTGCCAATTGCTTCAATTTTACCTTAATTTATCTAGTCATATTATGTCATCCCTGTGTTTAAATCAAAAAAGGTCCCCACTAGGAAAAAATAGTGACTTTGTATAGAATCTATTTCTCACTCTAGTTGACTACATTACTTGTTTTGCTTTATCTTCAACAACTCTTTCTTTTTCGTTTCTCCAGCCTTTATTCTTCTGATCCATTAACTTTCTGGTCTGACAGAGGAAAATCTCATCTGCTATTAGAAAAAAAATTGGAGGATTTGTGGGATATTATATCATATGTATACTTCTTGATAAGCATTGGCATTACCTGTTCAATTGCCAAACAATTTCCCATAGTTTAAAATTCTAAAACAGTGTATTACAGTGAAGTCCTTGAACCACCAATATCTGTATCTCTAAAAATCTAGAGATTTTTAGACATGTAAATTTCTCATACTACTTTGGAAGGGCCTCAGCATTCAATATTTTACCAAACTCTCTAGATGATTCCCTTGTACACTAAAGTTTGAGAATGCCTTCATTGAGCCATTCTTAATCACCAATGCCTTTTTAGTTGAAGACATTTCAAACTAGTTACTTTCCAATTAGCTAAATATTCATCTGGTAAAATGCAAAGAAATCAAACAAGATGCAGGTAAGTTTAATATAGTGCAGATGGGTTTATGGAAAGGGAAAGAAAAGGCAAAGGACAGTTGTGTAAATATCATTATGCCTAAAGAAGGAATTGAGTTGCATGTAAGGATAATTAGCCAACTCTAGTTGAAGACAGTGTTATCAAAAGAGTGAATAAATTACATTGTGGAAGGTACTGATTCAAATTTGTAACAATTAAGATGTGAATCAAATTGTTTATTTCCTTGCTTACTGACCTCTTACCCAGAAGCCAGCACAGTTCCTTTTTTCCTATTTGTAACAACTGGTATCTGATGCCCCAGCGAGGAGCCCTCCTTTTTTCAAGTAGCTCCTGCTGCCCCTGGGTCTTAGCTCTCATGTCATTTTTTCAGTTGTTGGGAGTTCTCTTGTTTCTTTCCCTTTTCCTACCAGGGGCCCAGGTAGTACCACTAGATCTCATCTGGCTGCTTGTGCTTAACTGTCTCTGAGCAGACTTTCTTGGTGATGTTCCCCTATGAAACACTGGCCCAGCATTGCTGATGCTATCCTCAACTGCCTGAATGAGATCTACTTAAATGGTGACAATCATTGGCTGACCAATGACAAACAATAATAATGACAACAAATAACGTTTATTGTCAACATCATTGATTGTAGGTTTTATCTGGTAGAATTCCCTACTGATCCTGCTATTTCCCCATCCCTTGGGTATCTATCTTACTGCCCCATTTTGACACAGGACCCTTACCATATCCTGAGTTTTGAAAATATAGGCTTATTCATAAAACCAGTGAATTACCTGCACCATTGTCCAAAAGTTCCAAAACTTGTGTTTTTCCACTGTTTGATTCAATGATTGCAGTCACACTGGCTCCAAGAATGGGAAGATACCCTTGGAGAACTTGTGCATAGACGATCATTGGGCTGGGGAAGCTGTTTGTGTCTTTGTTCATTTTAGCATTCACTGTGATTGGAGGCACAGAAGAATTTGCTGCCTGAGAGGTTACTGTCATGGTTAGTATTTCTGTGTTTGCTTTGGCCTGAAGACTGTAAGTCCACGTGCCCACCTAAAATTTCCAGTGGAAAGATAGTAAGTTTCCAGAGTTAAATGATATCCTGGTTCCCACCATGCAAATCTACAATAAATCTTAGAAGTGTGAAGTATGATCCACAGGTTTTTGATGGTTTTGAGGTTTTAAAATGGTGTGAGTTAAGGTTCAGGCAGGTACTGTCATTATTGTCATGTATGGTGTCTGTATTTTGTGACATCTCATCTGGAAAAAGTAATTACTGGACAGTCTGCTTTTGGTCTTATTCATTGACCTCAACAGCAATCTTCACACTAACTACAGAGTCTTCCCATAGTTTTTCGTGAGGGTTCTTGTTAGATTTTCTCCTGATACAAGAGTTCTTTATTTCTTTTTCCAGCTATCCACCACAGTCTTTAGGATCACAAAGTCTAAGAGAGTGTATGATAAAATAATTTTGTAGATGATATAATCATCAATACTCACATTTATGACATTAAACAATGAATTTTCAGCTTTTAAATTCAGAGAATGTCTTAAAGCTGATCACTTACCTGTGCAGTTCCTGGAATGCGGAGATAAGCCATTTTGGAAAGAGTGTCCTGTGTGAAAGCTTCTGTCAGTGTCCCATTGGGATTCCAGAGTGAAATACTGGGAGGCTGTTTTTCCCACGTGATGAGAAAGAATGTGTCCTTTCCCACAGTGCTATCAATTATTACAGTGTCATTCATCCAGGTATCATTGTTCAGGGTCAATCCCTTACTTTCGAGCTGTTTAGATACATTTTAAAAATCAATGACTGTAGAATAGAATAATTTTATTTTTTTTCTTTTAAAGATCAATCTCAATTTCTCATATGAATACGATGTTTTATATGGCATGCCACCTTATACTTGGACTCTTTCTGAAAGCTCATTGGTATGTAGCAGTTGTCAGCTAGAAAATGTGGAAATAAGAGGGTCTGAGGGAAGAACAGCATATAAAAGAGCCATGTACTGTTGGGGGGCATGAACTCATTATTATTTTTTTTTTCAGTTTTTTGGATAAACACCCATGCCAGTCTTTAGTATTAACAGGTGCTATGGACAGAGATGGACTATTGGGGGTGTGTATGTGTTTGTGTTTTTGTGTATGTGTGTGGTTATCCTCAGTTTCCCCCTCTTCATGATGATCCAAAGTATAATGTTTATGTGTCATTAGAGCTTTATAAATAAGGACCATATAACTGGGGAAAAGCTCTCATGGATACATTTCCCTGATTTGGAATCTTGAAATAGTTTTTCACAGGATAGAGAGTGAAGCTCTGGACAGTAAATACAAAAGAGGAAACTAATGTGTACAGGATGGAATTCTGAGAAAAGACCAATAAAAGATAGGATCTTCTCAGAGAGAAACTTTAAAGAAATTATTAAAATCTCTGTGGATAGCACTTAGTCTAGGAGATTCAACTCTTTTGCTTTATTATTATTTTTTAAAGTGACAAAAATGGTATAAATTTATCATATACAACATGGTGTTTTGAAAAGTATACATGTTATAGATGGGCTAAATCAAGTTAATTTATATGAGTATTACCTCACATCCTTGTCATTTTTTTATGGTGAAAGGACTTAATTTCATGCTGAACAATTTTCAAGGAAATAATGCATGTTATTAACTATCAACACCATGTTTGTATGATAGATATCTTGATCTCATTTCTCCCATCTAACAGAAATGTTGTATCCTTGTCTAATATCTCTCCAAGCCCAACATCCTACCAGCCGCTTGTAATCATCATTATACTCTTTGTTTCTCTGAGTTCAACTGTGTAAAATCATGCACTTTTGTCTTTCTGGGCCTGGCTTATTTCAGGTAACATAATGTCACAGAATATCCAACTTAATTCACTCACTACATGCTTCCTAGGTGAAGCATTCTCTGTAGAATAAGAAATCTCATTTATATTTCCACTTACTCCATAACCCAAAATACCTTCATGCTAATAAAAGTGAGCAGATTGCTACTTTGAAAATCATTGTTATAAAAATCTCCATCTCCTGTTAAGTAAATATATCTTTAGTTTATTATTATTGAGTTAAATCTCCAAACCAATATGTACATATTCTAAGCCACAGGCTCTCCTTCTATGCTCTCTTTATTGTTGGAAAATAGGTCTGTCCAGGTGATCATGCTAAGTTTTAATGTATATAGTGATTTGATGAATAGAAAAACTGAACACAGGAGTCTTGACATAAGGATGCATGACATAGACTTTTGGGAAGAAGATAAACAGATTTTTTAAAAAATATATTTTGATGGAAACAGGCTTTGTTGACATTGTACATGGGATCTGAATTGAAGAACCAGAGCTTAATCAAAGTTCTTGAATTTAAGTTGCAGAAAATGATCCTGTCATTGTGATATAGATGAGAAAAAGAGTTGAGTTCAGAGGAGAGGTGAGTAAAATAAAATGCCAGTGAAAAGTGTGGTTGAAAATATGGGAGAAGCCCTAGCCTTGTAGATACAATAATCATTCACCCTTCTTTCTCGTATTTATTTCCAAGATACATTTCTTCCATTTCCAAATTAGGCAGTTGAGTTCATTTGTCTAAATTTATTTTGTAACAATGAAGTGTAAAGAAAGCTTGGAAATATGGTGAGGTTTTTTTGTTGTTTTTCATTCAAAATGGTTGCTTTAATTTAGATGAAGAAAATGGATGTAGAAGAGCCTACATCCTGGGAACAAATTTTTACCCCTCACACTTCAGATAGAGCCCTAATATCCAGAGTATACAAAGAACTCAAAAAATTAAACAATAAGATAACAAATAACCCAATCAACAAATGGGCCAAGGACCTGAACAGACACTTCTCAGAGGAGGACATACAATCAATCAACAAGTACATGAAAAAATGCTCACCATCTCTAGCAGTCAGAGAAATGCAAATCAAAACCACCCTAAGATACCATCTCACTCCAGTAAGATTGGCAGCCATTATGAAGTCAAACAACAACAAGTGCTGGCGAGGATGTGGGGAAAGGGGTACTCTTGTACATTGCTGGTGGGACTGCAAATTGGTGCGGCCAATTTGGAAAGCAGTATGGAGATTCCTGGGAAAGCTGGGAATGGAACCACCATTTGACCCAGCTATTGCCCTTCTCGGACTATTCCCTGAAGACCTTAAAAGAGCGTACTACAGGGATACTGCCACATCGATGTTCATAGCAGCACAATTCACAATAGCTAGACTGTGGAACCAACCCAGATGCCCTTCAATAGATGAATGGATTAAAAAATGTGGCATTTATACACAATGGAGTATTACGCAGCACTAAAAAATGACAAAATCATAGAATTTGCAGGGAAATGGATGGCAGTAGAGCAGATTATGCTAAGTGAAGCTAGCCAATCCCTAAAGAACAAATGCCAAATGTCTTCTTTGATATAATGAGAGCAACTAGGAACAGAGCAGGGAGGAAGAGCAGGAGGAAAAGATTAACATTGAACAGAGACATGAGGTGGAAGGGAAAGGGAGAGGAAAGGGAAATTGCACGGAAATGGAAGGAGACCCTCATTGTTATACAAAATTACATATAAGAGGTTGTGAGGGGAAAGGGGAAAAAAAAACAAGGGAGAGAATTAAATTATAGCAGATGGGGTAGAGAGAGAAGATGGGAGGGGAGGAGAGGGGGGATAGTAGAGGATGGGAAAGGTAGCAGAATACAACAGTCACTAATATGGCATTATGTAAAAATGTGGATGTGTAACCAATGTGATTCTGCAATCTGTATTTGGGGTAAAAATGGGAGTTCATAACCCACTTGAATCTAAAGTATGAAATATGATATGTCAAGAGCTATGTAATGTTTTGAACAACCAATAAAAAA